ATCTTTTCCCATTGATTTCTAAACTGCCCATATTATGACTTAGTTTCAGTCCCATGCACATAGAATATTACTTGTAACCAGTACCATTTCAACTATGCACCCACAGGTGAGAGGTACTACACTAACTAGCAATCATTCAAATCTACAGGTCAAACTGCAATTCCTTATTACAAAAAATACAGAATGAGATTCCTTTGGGAGTCAGATAATAAGCCTCTAACAAGATTAGTGCCAAATATGGCAAAAGGTTAGGATTAATAAGAAAATTTCATTGGGAAATGTTGGCACAGAAGCTATGGAGCAAGTCTGTATAGGCCCTAGAAACAGTCTGGTCAGTCTCAAGGTTAGGCCTGCCCTAGAAATTCTAAACTTTGTTCCTACCTTGGACTTCTTTCGTGGACACTTTCAGTTTCAGTTGACTTTACCATCTGGCAAATTAAAAACAATTCAGAATATCAAACATTTTCACTGCAGTTTTCTTGTTCTGTCTTGTCTTGTCACACCATGTTTTTTGCATAAGAAGACCACTTGCCTAAAAGGACTTTTCCTTGGTCCCCTGAGTGGTCATCTTAGACAAGTTTGACTGTACCATCCATCATCATTAGGCTTATTGAAAAGCCCCAGACACCTGACATGTGGTCAGTCACTCAGTGGAGAGGTTCTGGCCCTCTTGTACCTGAAGTGTCTGCCTGAGTACTGCCACAGCTAATGCATATAGGTTTTCCATACTAAAAGGATAACGGAGTATGTACATGTGGTAAAGCAAGCTTTTGTTCACGTGATCTGGAGCACAATTAAGCCTTTTCCAGCTGAACCTGCCGAACTACATTAAATCAAAAAGACAATCTAGGACATATACTAAAGGAACTGTTTGGGTGAACTGTAATACCTTCTGCTCCTCTTTTAAATCAAGTAACTTAAAGTAAGGTTGCATTTTCGAGCACTTCGATTTGTTACTTGTTTTCTTTGGCTGTAGGAGGATCTTCAACAAAACATGGCATATGCATTAGTGGCAGAAACAGGTTATGTAACATAACATATGCCAAACTATAGGCTGAGCCATAGGGGCACTTTAGACTGACGACGGTTCGATAGTCGTACGAATGTTTATCGTCAAGATGTTGCCGGCGACGGTATTTTACCATCGTCTAAAGACGATCAAAATAGTCGCAAGACGGTAATCCTCGAATCGTCGTCACTACCACCTCGGACCCTATCGTGCGATCCTTCAGCGGGGGGTCCGAGGAGGATTTTCCACCGTCTAAAGTGAACCGTCGCCGGCGAAGGAAGTGGGGGGTCATTGGCCTTATGCAAATAAGCCTGCAAGCGTTATTTCATGTCCTAGCACATCGCCTGTATCATTAAATGTCGTCAAACCAAAGACTTTATATCGTCATACGTGTCTAGTACAATCCCCTGCCACCAATCGCTACTTCTCCAGTACAAACCGATCCACATTTCCCGGCCAATATAGCCAGGCCGACGGCAGCACCGACCGCCGGGTTCAAACCCGGAGTATTTCCCCGCTCGGTACATGTGCCATATACCCCTTCTTTGCTGGGCACAAACTCGGCGTCTCATCCACAAGACAACGAGTTAAAAGCAGAATAAAAACAAT